AATAAAATAAGTATATAAAATAAGTACACGAGATAAATACACAAAATTTCATATTCATAAGCCAGTTATAAAGACAGTGAGCTTTAAAATGCATTGCATTTTGAGGATATTTTGATATATTAAAGGTACCTGATTCCTTACCTTGCAAGTTAACACATACGTAATATGAATATTTTGTTAAAGTCCATATTTGGGCCTTCTAGTTGCTTAACATTTTGTAAAGCAAATTAATGTGTGTGTGTGATTATGGCAAAGCCTCAAAGACTATCTGCCTAAGAGGAGGGATGCCTTCGTGGAGAACTTTCTAAGGGAAACTGGCTCGTGTACACGTTACACATGGGGAAAACCACGAAAACGCCTATGCAGCCAGCCCGTTCGCGAGATTCGAATATCGGACCGAACTACCAGAGTTCAACGACTTTACCGCTTGGCCGCTGGTGGGCCGCAAATTAATGATCCAAGTCGTTTCAAGTTATTGAAAGATAATCAAGAAAACGTGTTTTTTTTTTTTTTTCGGAACTTTCACTGAACTACTGTGAGCAAGTGTCAGTGCTTTTCGACTTTTGCGCAAGTGCCAGTAAATTGTTGTCATTCAACGTGCCATTAGTCTATAGAGCTCCTATGCTGTTATGCTTCAAATCTTAACTGCATTGCTTAATAAACTGCGCAATTTAAAAGAAATAAAGGCACTTCTTATTATCACGTATCTCGTTCTGTATTTCGTGAAAATCCACAGCCGAAAATTATAAGTGCATACAGCTTCTGAAAGGAAATGTTAACGAATTTGGTTGGATAGAATATGTTTGTGAGTAAATGTACTAATATTAGTGTATTCCGTATACGAAAAGAAATCAGTAACAGTCACAGTTTCCAATACTGTTTATTTTTTCATTCCTACGCAACTAATTATCAACTAGCGTAAATAAGAAGATACTAAATCATAAATAAGTGATCATGAAAAATGACAAAAATATAAATGCCAGAGGGAAAAATGTGCAAAGAGAAGCCAGTAAAGGATGTAATTCAGATTTTTATTTTTATTTTGACATTCGAAACTTCCTTAAGGGTACATGGAACATCTCCACAGGAGAAATGAAGCAGTTTTTGCAAAAGATTCAACAAAATGTATTTTATTTAAAAATGCAGATATAACTGAAATTTTTTTACAGTAAATATACATATTTCAGCTTATATTTCAATAAAACGAATTTAATTATCTGCATAAATTAGTTTTCAAGAGCTAATTAACTTTATCTAGCTACATGAAATGTTTTAAATAATATGTCTGTTCGATTTCTAAAAACCAACTAATTATCAACCAATTAATTATCAAATTTTAAGGCGATAACCAATTAAGTTTATCGCCTTAAAATTTGGTATGGCAACAGAAAATATAATATTTGAAAATAATAAGAAGCAATTTTTATTTTGGTTAAAAAAATTAAATTAATTTTGTTAAAAAACTCGGAAAAATCTAAAAATTGTAAGAATTTGTTTTTCATTATTTTCAAATTTTTCCATTCAGATCTAAAACGTTAGGTATTTTTTAAAGAAACAGGTTAGTTGTACAACTTGGGAAAGTTTAAATACTCTACCTTAAATAGATTTTTAGAAAAATACACCGACGTATTAAAAAAACACGTTTACAGAAAAAGGCAAAAAACTGCATGCATACCCAAAATGCTTAAAATGTACTATTTTAAAACCTTCCAGCACCATAATCATTTTGTTTTAACATTTTTGTATCAATTTTTATCTGTTTTATCATTTTAATTTTCCCTCTGGCTGATTTAGAGAGATTTTAATTTTAGAAGCTTAAGGATACTGCTCGAACTCGGCTCTTATAATTTTTTTCAATGAATGTTTCATATTATGGCCCGGTTTAAGTCCCAAACATTTTAGAATGTTTGTGCAGTTGTAAGCTCCATCGTGAAAACAAATTGCAGCGTCTAAACAAGCTATTATCAAAGTAGTTATTGAGACAAAAACAGTTTTAGGTAAGCGTTGCCATAAACAATGGTTAAAACCCTCATTTGGATTCTGAGTTCTACCACGTGTGCATTTGCACAAAAGTTTTCTATCAGAAAAATGGAGAAATGTATCTAAAAATGTAGTTTGGTTACTCTAGATGTAGAAACATTACATTAGGTTATTTCGAAGCAGGAGAGATGAAAAATGAGCAATGCTCTCGCCGGGATTCGAACCAAGGACCACTCGAATACGCGTCTAGCGTGCTGACCACTACACCACGAAGGCATGATAAGAAGGCAGGAATAATACTTTTTAAACTCAGAGATGGATAATAGAGGAAGGAGAAAATTATTCGAATATTTTAATGCTTGGCAAATGTTTACCCTTGTGGAAGCCAGATCTTGGCAGGAATAAAAAATAGAAAAGTAGATAAAAAAAAAATTTAAAAATGTTTGAAAGGATTCACATTTTACCATGGCTTTAGAGTTTGTAGATATATTAGGTATTTTTTGGAAGTAGGAGAAGTAAAAAATAAGCAACGCCTTCGCCGGGAATCGAACCGCGGACCTCTGGAATACGCGCCCAGCATGCTCATCCCTACACTACGAAGGCATGCTTCGTAGCTTTCGGAAAGGCGGAAGAAATTTTTTAATGCCATAGCTCATTTTTAGAGTTCCCTCTACAACTTTAGTGTTGCTGTAAACTTTTTTGGTCAGAAGGGCTTTTAAATCTCGAAACATACTTTGTCGTCGAATGACTTTTGTTTTCCGTTTCACTTTTCAAATAATTAGCCACTGGCTCAAGTAACCACCTAAAACGAATACTATAAAAAAATTTGTAATGCTTTTAATATGTCCAGTTTATATTATTTCGTGGGTTTTCTTAATTAATAACATAGATAAAGAACTGCGTTTACTGCTTTTAAATCGCTTAGTTTGTTCATCAATAATAGAAAAAAATGAACTTTTAAAATTTTAAATATCTTGCGCTTTGCCAGATAGCAACAGAATGATGCGTGTAAGTTAAAAGTATTCTATATCGACTCCGGATTGGAATGGTGCAGTCACCTAGGTGCTTGTACACGCAGCCTATTCCCGTCGAATACCTTTTGAATCATGTCAGTTAAAAAAAAATACGCATCGTGGTAAGTCCTTAAGTCCAAAAAAATTTGAAGTTTCATAAACCTTGACACTTTGAGAATAGACATAAGTAATAAAGGCAAACAAGGCAACTAATAATGGCTGCCATTAGGGCGTAGTCACATTACAGATCGCCTTTGGGCAATCTGTAATGTAACTACGATTGTAATGTAAATATGATTAAATCAATTAATTAATAATTAAAATTAAATTAATAAATACGATTTAAAATTAATTAGATTAAAATTTAATACGATTTAAAATTAATTAATTATTTAATTATATTAATTAAATAAATACGATTATAATGTAAATACTTTTATGATCATCATACTTGTCAATAAATATTTTATATCGAGTGTCTTTAGAATTCCCTGTCAAATGTTATACTGCAAATGCTATATGTCAAATGCTATGAATTTATTATATATTGCTTATTTTTCAGTAATTACACTAGCGACAACACTGAGTGACAGCAACCTTTTATTAGACTTTATCGATGCAGGAGTCGTAAAAAACGTGTAAAAACTTCGCGAGGATTCGCTGGAATCGAATATGCCCCCCCCCTCCCCGTTTGTTAACCGGACATGCTTCCAATTCCACCACGAAGACACGCGGTAAAGATGGGGAAACTACTTTATAAAATAAGACATGGCAATCATACTGGTTGGCAATATCCTTTTATTTGTGTTGCCATTCTTATCTGTGCTGCCATATGTCAAATTTAATGAAAAAATAATTTTGGACGAAAAACGAAATCTAAGTTTTAATACGGTCTCCCGCTTCCTGTATTTATATTTGGGAAAGTTTTAACAGTTGTTATGAAAAAACAAAATTAGGAGAAATTTGACTCTCGTATGACAAATATTTTCAAAATTTGCAATCTTTGATGTCATTTTCGACTTGTCTTGACAAATCAGTTAATTAAATTAGAATAAATAATTCGAGGATAGAAATTTAAATGAAGTGCAGCAAAAAATTATTATATTTTAGTAAGCCGTACAAAAAAGTTATGCAGTGTTGTCCACATCAGTTTTTTTTTATATTCGCTGAATTAGTTCTTCAAAAATAATGCATGGCGATGTCTTTCAGGGATGCATTTGGATACAAACAAAAAAGTGAAGTTTGAGACTAATAGTATTCCTGGTGCTAATAAGGAATACAGGAATGCCTGGAAAATGGGATCCCGGGAAAACCATCATCGAGAAAGCACGGCTTGGGGGGGGGTATCGACTGATGAGAGTAAAAAAACTTCGACTTCCGCGCTTAACGGACGGATCTGAAAATGCTTCACATCCAGTCATCTGGACCACCTTGCGAGGTCAGCCGCCTTCGGCCCCGAAATAACCACCTCGCACTATATCTCAAACAACCTCCAATCACCCCCCCCCTGCAAAAAATCGCAAGGAAACATTAAAGAAAAAAATCGCAACCGAAAGGGAAATCCAGAAAGAGTGACTCCATCCAGACGATCAGGGGTCATCCTGGATGTCACGGGGCACTCACTATCAGCAACGCCAAACGAGAACTAGGTCCCCAACAAAACCCGTCGGGGCACTTCGCAGCTTTCTCACGTCCCCCCTTCCGCTCGCGCGCTCGCCTCCTCCACACACCACCTGAATGCATTATCTTCTACCCACCCCGCTACTCACCGCGTTCCCCCCTCTCGCATGGGGATTCTTCGCTGCGTATGAAATTAACAAACAAGAAGAAAAATGAAAACAAAAAGATAGAAACTTAACTTTCCTCGTGACACACTTGTACGGATGATGCTTCTTCCAAGAGGGATCTTGCTTTGTTTTGTTATTTTTTTTTTCCACCCTTCCTTTCTCTAACAGGTCTGACCCCGCGACGGAGTGCGCATGCCCGCCGGAAGATGAAATCCCTGGGTATATAAAGATGGTGAAGAGAGCAAATCTTCATCAGGTTTCATCCGCATCGTATTCCAAGTCGGTTTTTACCAACTTTCTTCCTCGGAAAGCCAAACACAGGTAGGTGTTCGGATACGTATAATAGGTGTTCGGATATGTATAAGCTCTTCGTTCTATGGATTTATTGTTTTCCCTTCTGGATTACAAAACTGCGACGGCACGGAAAAGGGATTTTTACGGAATCTCAGCGATGACTGCCACGAAAAACTCTTTTTGTCCGTAAAACGCTTCGGTTTTTCTTTTTTGATTTATCTTTATGTATATACTCCGTGTTCATTATCCTCGGTTATACTTAGGTTATAAAATTCTAGTAGGTTTTGTAAAAGTAATTTTTAAAATTCTGCTGTAGAAATTTTTGTGAAAGCAAATTTCCCAATAAGTTTATAAAATTCTGCCGTAAAAAATCTGCCATTAGAAGGTTTTATAAAAGCAATTTCTAAAATTCTTCCGTAGAAATTTTTAATAAGTTTATAACTTATTAAATTTTCTAAATAAGTTTATGAAATTCTCCAGTAATAGGTTTTGTGAAAGCAATTTTGCGGCTTAGTTTATAAAATTCTGCCGTAAGAGATTTTGTAAAAGTAATTTTGTTAATAAGTTTATGAAATTCTCCAATAAAAGGTTTTGTGAAAGTAATTTTGTTACTTAGTTTATGAAATTCTGCTCCAGTAGGTTCTTTAGAATTTAATAGTTTTCTGTAGAGAAATAAATAAGTTCTAAAGGAAATAGATTTTATACACTTAAATTCGAACATGGTTAGAAAATGTAAAGGAAATAATTTTGAGATGCCAAAGCTTAATTACAATAGAAGAATAATTCCGAGGAAATAATTTTTGTATATTTACGCTTCAACAGTTTTGGAGAACCATTTACAAGCAACAACTTCCATATGCAGAATCATTTTTAATATGTGTATTGTACTCCGACATCAGTATAATTTATTTATAAAAGATTTTAAAATATTGACCAATATGTTGGCAACAAAAAATTAACAGCTAATTTCTCGTGACTGAAAACGTTTCAAGAGATTAAATTCATGTAGAAGAAAAACATTTATGAAGTTGATGTAATATTCTAAAAAGCAATCCTGGATTTATTTCTAAGGAATTTTCTTAGCATTTTTGAAGTTCTGTTTGTTGAATATTTGATTAATTTTATAGGGATACTTTTTTTTTGTTTAATTAATGTTTTATTTTATATTTAAACCATTCTATTCAAAACTGTACGAGGTCAGATTTATAATTGTTTTTGTATGCTGAAAATTTAAGAAAAACTGCTTATATACTCGTATTTTGATACTGGTTATTTATTATATGCTTGAATATTATTGCACAATCATTTACGAAAATAGTTTTTTACATGCCGAATCTTAAACACTGTTGGAGAATTTCAAGGAAATTATCTTGATACGTTTAGGGCTTAATATTATTATAGATTTGTATAAAAGATATTGCTTTTACAATCCGCAACTTTATTACAACAGGAGAATCATTTAAAACCAATGGGTTTTATACGCTAGAGGGTTTCAGATTTTAACTGTTCCCCAAAAGGGTTTGTTAAGGTTTTTTATGCTATTGTCGACTTCGCAGTGACCAAGTTTGCTGTTACACGCACTTTTAACTAATCCATTTGTATTGTCTTTTTAGGTTTATTATTAAGCATTATTTTCTTCGTACTTAACGCTGTTCAAATAGCGTTTACATGCTTAAGCTTTAATATTGTTACAGAATAATTTCAAGGAAATGTTTGCAAGCGGCTTTAATATTATTAGAATATTTTTTGTGAGAACAATTTAACATATTGACGCTTTAAAAATATTGAAAAAATAAAAACCATTCAAAGGAAAACGATTTTACATTCATTTTTTATTATTACTGCAGATCTGAAAGAAACGGTTTTGAAATACCGAAACTTTATTTTTATTGCAGAATCATTTAAAGGGAATAGCTTTAATATTAACAATAGAATCATTAAAGTAATTATATTCTAAATCTTTAAATGTTTTGGGAAAATAATTTCAAGGAAATGGTCTTTTATGCATTTGTTTTTAGTATGTAGTATTACAGAATCATAAGAATATATTCATTTAGCTTTATTTCAAAACAATTTTAATTTAATAATAATTTTTATATAAGAACCTTTTATACTGTCAAATAACCATTCAAAAGAAATAGGTTTTATTTGCTGATAGCGCCCCCGAGAGGCAAAATCGCTGAACAGTGGTAGTTCTGTCGTGGGTTCGAATTCAGGCAAACGAGCTAGCTGCATGGGTATTTTCGTGAGTTTCCCCACGTGCAGCGTGCATACGAGACAGTTTCCCTTATAAAGTCCTCCATGAAGACATTCCTTCCCTTTGTCCAAGTGTGCTTTGCCATAATAAACTAAGCCAAAGCAAACCCGAAAATTTAATAAAGGTGTGTTGTAAACTTCTATGGAACATTTGTAATTTTTCGTAACATATGTGCGTATGCAGTGAAATTTTGTTCATCTAATTATGCGATGTAATTATTTTTAATAAAATAATTTAAAATTCAAATCACGATGAACTGTTCTCAAATGTTTGTGATTAGATTAAATTATACCTTATGAAAGCTGTAGGAGAAAATGAAAATACGATGTAAGATTTGCTTTAAAAAAGTAAATTTAATCGTTACATTATAACGTAAAAAAATAATTAGTTATTAAAGATATAGCAGCTTGTTTAAAATACATTTTACTGGTTTTTTTTAACATAGAATCCAAAGAAATTTTCAGTCGCGAATTTCTTATTTAAATAAATAGTATTTTAAATAACCATGTTTAGAGCATTTTTTAAATGATAATCGAATAAAGTACAATCCGCAACTTTAATTTACAACAGGAGAATCATAGTGTACAGATTTAGGTAATAACTTATTTGCTATACATATATTCTGATGTCTATTTCATTTCGGTACTTGATTCGGTATTTTAATATTTCTTTTTTTTTCTTTTTATTTAAATTTAATAAGAAACAGATGATTAGTGATTTAGTGACACCATTTTGTGCACATAGTGTGATTATATAAATTTTTCCGTAACTATCTTTAAAAGAGAAATTAATAAAATTGTCAAAAATGCAGCTATTAAAACCATTACAAAAGTATGAGTTAAGTTTGCATTCTTAACATTATTATCACCTGAATCTCGTAAAATTTTGAAATTTTGTTACGTTATTCTATCATGCCATTTATTTTCGATGTGAATCTTAAATGTTACCGTTGCATAAAGCATACTATCTTTAATATCTCTTTCCTGCAGACAAACTACTAGCGTGTTGCCATTCGACATGATGCATATTATTTCATTTATTTTTCAAATTTGGAATATTTAACGAAGGCTATTAAAGACTATTAGAAACTATTAAAAATAAATGAATTTTTTTAATAATTAAAGTATTTAATTATTTTTAGAAAATATATCTGACTGCTGTTTCAAATGCATTTAATTCATGACATACTCGAAAGGTAATTTTAACAAATATTTGAGGTATTATTGCAATTAACTAAAGACGTTTCTGTTGCAATTATTACAAAATATAATTATCACAAATCTCGCGCAGAATCTTTCAGAATTTGAGAAATCAGCGTCTTAATGGTTGCAGAGAAGACTGTATATTTGTTGAACAAATAAATATACAGTCTCTCTTTTGTATTAAGACAAATTTTGTATATGAATTACACACTATGTAATACAAAAATAACGCAAAATGTTTATGTTACAGATTTTTGTACTATGTGAATATAACTATGGGTTTCTATTTTAAAATTTTGTATTTCGAAAGCAAAATAATAAAAGAATAGCTTATATTAGCTTGCTTTCGGCAATGTAAAATTTTATGAAAGAAATTGGTAATGTCAACGTCTTAGAATTGGGCACGAGATATCGAATAAAAACAAGGATTTATAATTTTAAATAAGGAATGTCTAATAAAAAATGTAAGAATAGCTAACTTTCGTAGGCTGCAAATCGGTAATTTTAGAATTAAAAACCAAGCTGTAGAATTAGAAACCAAATAGAGAAAAATCAAAAGATTGAAATTACTTTCGTTGTTGACGAATAGGTAATTCAATTTGATAGAATTAGGAACCAAATATCAAATAAAAAGTGTAAAATCAGGTTGAGCTTGGGTTGTTAAGTTACAGCTGATGGTTATTTGATAAAGCCAAAGTATGCAAAGACTTTTAAGGAATTACCCGATTCCTTTGTGCCTACTGTCGTGGTGTAAGACGTAAGCATGTTCCGCTAGTAACTGGAAGGTCCGTGGTTCGAATCCCGGCAAAGACACAATTACTTCATTCTGCTCCTGGTTCCAAAAAAATTCTAAAATCTTTCGGCTGTTCAACAAATAGTGATTCTTTAAAAATAACAAATCTAAAATACTTCTGCAGTTTTTTTAAAAAAAAGATGGTTCCTTCTATAAATCTAAAATTCTTCATTAGTTTACTAAAAAATATTGTTCCTTAAAAAAACAGTTCTTGGGCAGATAGTTGCACACTCTACTACAAAATATAATTTTTTTCACTTATTTTAATTGTATATTTTAAGACCGTTGCCAAACCTTAGGCAGAAAAATTTTCACACCTTTTAAATTATAAAATCCGATTTTAAACATATTATACCATCGACTATATAATCATAATTTTATTTATTTCTGGCATTTGTGCATGTTAAAGGCAAATTAAATATTATCTTAAACTAGAATTGTTTTATTTTCATGCAGGTCTCCTGTAGTTCCTATCCTCATCCTACACAATGAAATACATTTCAGTAATTGGTAAGTATCGTTCCATTTCCATGTTGCCAACTTCTATGCGAAAGAATTTTTTTTCTGTAAATTATCCCTACTAATTCAAACAAGAGCTTAAAATAAAAGCACTAGTAAACTATAAATAATTAAAATTACAATGTTAATTTTTCAACAACTTCTTGACATTAGAAAAGTGTGTAGTTTTATCTTTCCATAACTTTGCATTATACTGCTACTGCATTTGTCCTCCTTGTGTGGCTTGACAATTTGTCCACGTATTATCAATTCACGAGAATTGAAATTTTTTATTTATCCGTCATGATTTATTTTATTTATTTTCTCCATTATATTTATTTATTTTATTATTTTACCCTTGTATTTCTTTACTTATTATTTTGCCCTAGTATTTCTTTATTCGCATATTTTATTATTCTACTGTCTGTGTTTCCATTTTATTAGTATCGCATGTATTTGTTTTATTATTTTGTATTTGCATTTGTTTATTCATTATTTAATTTTGCGATTGCAATAATTTATCTCCAAATTAAAACCGTGTATTGGTTTACGAATGGTACCGGTTCCATAATTTACTTAACTGCATGAATTATATTTGTCACTTCGCCAAAGTGCTGCCGAAAATATGAAAAGTTTTAAAATTTTTAAATAAGTTAAAATTTCAAAAATCTGACGAGTCCACTTCCACGCAGCACCGGAATATCTAAAATCGATTTAAAAATTGTCTGAAAATCTAAAATTGATTTAAAACTCGTCTGAAAATCTAAAATCGATTTTAAAAACTGAAAAAAAAATAATCAGGATTAAGAAAGCTAAAGTTCAATAGAGAGAAAATATAAAAGCTGAAGGGGTATTTAAAAATACAAGCAAAGCACATTCGTATGTTATAAAGTCACAAAATGTTTCGGATTAAATTTGAAATATACGCTTATAATCTTACGCTTTGCAGAGTTTTATATCTCTGATCCTTTATTTAAAATTTCATTAAATTCGAAGAAAATACTAAATAAGTAAAAAAACAGATTCGCGACCTTTTTTTTTTTTTTTTTTTTTTTTGCAGTGAAATTCGAAAAATAAATATATTTATTTCCTAAATGGCAACAAATTTCTTTTATATCGCAGAGTTTCCTAATTGAGTTTGACACATAAATAATTTCGCTTTACAGAGTGGCAACACAAAGCTTTTAAATGGCTGAGATTTTTATCAATAGTTCTTCAAACTCGCCCAAAATACGAAACATAATAATAAACGAATTCGAGTTGCACATGTTTCGGAGGGAGACCTATGTGTGTTCAAACGTTGGTGCTCTAAAGTGTCGTTTTTCCACAATGCGAGGAACCAACCTTCCTACATACGTACATACATGCTGATTCTTCATTATTTAATGATAGAATTAAAAGCAAAGCGGTAGATATCCTAGTTTTCGGTGAATTTCTTATAAATTGAAAGCAAGAAAATAAAAAATTGAGTTTTTCTATGCATTAATTATAAAATGAAAGCAAATTTATAAACAAATTGGTTTTTTTGTCGGTAAGTAAAACATGCTTTTATCTTACAGCTCTCGTCGTTTTGGGAGTCGCTGTGGCATTGCCAAGAGTAAGTGAAGTTTTTCATATTTACCTATTTAGAAGTTTTGGTTCTAGAAGATCTAAATGTGTGTATTTTGTAGATTCTGTCCCATGCCAACTTTCATAATTAATTTTTACTCTATGCTCATGCAGTTCTTAAATGCAGCTTGATGAATGCCAATTCCGATACCTGTTGGCAAGCGCTGTTCTATAGTTTGATTTATCTTGCAAATGGCCCCAATACTGGTAATAAATTAAGTGTACAAAACAAGAACATTTATTGAAGCATCGTCATACAACGTTCCATCGCAAATATTCCATCCAAAAATAAAACTGGCTCCTTGATTTAAAATCTTAAAAATAAAACATCGTTTCGTTGTCGCCACTGAATCACAAAAAAAGTGAAACCCTCGCGACTTGTTACAACAACTGTTTATTATCTACTATTATAGACTCTGAACAGTAAAAACAAAATAAAATTACACAAACCAAATAACAATATCCTTCCTGTTTTGTACGTCTTTGTAATGCAATAAACATGTATTTGATTCACAGTAAAAGACACTGTCCAATTATCTGTATTTTTAGAATATTCCCGTATTGTTTTGTGACACTGTGTCAGGATATTTCTTGCTCTGTTGTGAAAATGAACCTAAATTTCTTTAAAAAAACAATGATTTAATAAAACTAATGAATATAATAAATAACCTTGGGAAAATGTTTCACAAAAGGAGGATTTTTAAAATTCAAATCTAAAGGTCCTACCATAGCTCTTTGATAAACGGTCTCTTTTAAAAATATGAAATGTAAAACCTTTCGGTAACTTTTTTTTCTTTTTTAAAAGCTGGTTTCTTAAAAATAACAAATATAAAACCTTTCCTTACTTTTTATGAAAATATCGTTCCTTTCAAATAATAAATCTAAATTTTTTCAGTAGTTTTTCGAATCAAAAATAATAAATCCTTTTGCTTTTTCTATACAATGGTGATTTTTTAAAAACTATAATTTAAAATTTTTCTTTAGATTTTGACAAAATGTGATTTCTTAAAAATGATAACTTACATTTTTCAGTTGTTTTTGACAAGTGGCGATTCATTAAACTTATAATAAAAATTATTTGAGAGTTTCTGATAAGTAAAAATAATATATCTTATAAATATCCTTTAAATGATATATATAAAATCTTTAGGTAGATTTTTTTTCCTTTTTAACAAATGGCGGTTCCTTAAGAGGATAAACCAAAAATCCTTCAATATTTTTAATAACAAGCAGAGGTTTCTTAAAAGTATTTGAATCTTTCGACCCTTTCTTGGCAGCAGTGGTTTCTTTAAAACTCTAAATCTAAAAACCTTTCGTTAGTTTTTTGAAGAAATATGATTCTTTAAAAATAATAAATTTAAGTTCTTTGGGAGTCCTTTTTCTACAAATGGTAGTTAAATGCAATAAATATAAATTTTTCAGTTGTTTCCTTGACAAATGGCTGTTCCTTAAAAACTATAATAAAAATTATTTGTTAGTTTTTGACAGAAAATGCCAATTTAAAAATATTAAACGTAAAATATTTCAATAGTTTTTGACAAATTGGTCTGCTACAAAAACAATAAAAACAAAATCAATTTCTTGGATAAAAATATACTGTTTTTCTCTAAACAGAAAACACATTTTAAAATAGAAACACTTACACCTGTTTCGATTCAGAGCTTTTCCCGTTTGACCAAACGAAAATGCCAGATATAAACACCTTCGCTTTGCACGACGGAAAGGGTCAGCCAAAGGCGGGTAGGACCCTAAATTTAGAAAGGTCGGAGAGGGAAATCGAGTTTCAGAGGTGACTGGAACTTAACCTGTGAAGTTGTTTTTATGTTCTTGCCTCTCGTCTGGCAGTGGAGCCGATCTATCTCTCAAGAGATCTACATCGCAAAATAATTTTAAAATGAGCATAGCTCTAGAATTTTACATACAGAGACTCGCGCGCTAGAGATAAAAATGCTAAATGTATGCTTCCAGCTTACAACGTTGCCACGGCTCGCTTTGAAATCCTTGAGTTTTTCAATCAAAATTTCGTTAAAAGTTTTACAAAATATGAAATCGATAATAAAACAAATTCCAAATTTCAAATTTCAGATGCCCATATTCGCATGAGGATTACTTTATCCAAAGTTGGATGGCTCTAGATACCATTGTTTTATCACAATGCGAAAAATAGACATACATTTATGCAGATTTTTCATTCTTTAATTTCTTCAAATATAATGCAGGACTCTAGCATTTTGTGGCAACAGTTTGAAAAGTGAACCGAGGAGTCCGACGCAAAATGCCAAAACGAAAGTAATACTCCTTCGGGACTCAAATCCTTTTGGAATAACAAGACGTCCTCAGGTCATTTGAGAATCAAGATTGGAGAATATTCTGAGTACATTCAGGAACGTTGGGATTTAAACATAATATTCAGAGGCTATTATATGTTATGGCACAATGAGGTTCCGTTCGAAAACGAGCCCCAAACGGCTTCCTATTTCAAACATTTATCCTTTAACACGCATACATACAGTCCCAAACGAGTTAACCTACATCTTCCCTGCCCCAAGTCGTGTTTACGATCTCATAGCGGAAATTATTTTCGCGGGAACTCTTCCACAAACATCAAAGCTTCAATCGTTGCCTGCAGAGATCAGGAAAAAAACATTCCCTTCCTTTGATGAATGGTTACGATGTGTTATTGGTGAGCGTAAAATACCACATTAGCCAGCTTCGGATTCAAGAGTCAAAGGTCGGGAGTAATTTTTGGAAGAGTTCGCTGGGGTTGCTCTTCAAGGCTGAATAAGGTTTCCGTGTTCAACCGGTTAAAAGGAAAGTCGTGAAACAAACGAAAGTTTTTATCGCCTTGTAAACATGATGCGGCGAGGGGGAGGAGGGTTATGTAACAGTGCGGGTACATTTTTGTTCAAAGATGATTGACGCAATGATTGGCCAACGGAATTTTCTTATTATATGCTTCCTGCTTAGCATGTACGATGACGACGTTTGACGTCAGATCGGCGTTGCGTTGTTTCGCACAGGCTTCTACAAAAGGAGAACACCTAGTTCTCGGTTGAACGAAAGCGTATTAACCGAGTTCCTGTCTTAAATTTTTTTTTATTACTCAACGACGGAAACGTTAATATCGCAAAATTGTCATCCGCACTTCTCAAGCAATTCTTGCAAACATTGTTCTTTAATGTCACTAATTTACATTTTTTCCTTTATAAATTGTAAAGTATATTATGTTAATTAACCATTTATTATGATTTAATTCTACTATAAATTTCCCGTTCTGTACTCCTCACCCGAATTCAAATTAGTTTTGTGTTTATTTAAGTTGAGAGCTTTGAATCTTTAGATTGAAACATCTGGAAATGGCGTCTTGATATTGACATTTTCGCCAACTTTCCTTAAAAGTGATACTCCGGCTTTAGCCATTCTCTCTAGCCGACGTTTTACATCCGCACCGGTAAAATATCTGAGCCAGATTATTATGTTTAATGTGTAGTCTTAGACTGCATATTCAGCGTTTAAATTTAACCGTCCGTTATTGTTAAGTCAAATATCAACAAGCGTTGTAAATTTCGTTTGTAGCAGAAGTTGTGCCTTTGTGTTCAGTTTAAAACTAAAATAAAAAGATTATTTTAATCTTCTTCTGTATTTTTCGACAGATGTAGCGATATCTCGCTATTAGTTCAGTAGGATCTGCAGGACTTAACTTCCAGATGCAATAGGAACCCTACAAAATGATGTTTAATTTTTTCCTACCGCCTTGTTTCTGTTTCGCATACTGATTTCATTGGCATAATAAAATTAAATTATTCTTGAGATGTTAAACTCCTTCAAATTACAGGTAATAGCATTTGTCTGTTAATTATGATATAAGTTATTCCTTATGATTTCCTAATTGCTGTTGGATTAACCGCGTACATTGTATCTGATATTATTCCGGTTAACTGAGAGTTTACCATAGTAGTGCAGAACTCCAAAAATCCGCTTTTATTTGGACTGAACTCCATCTGGATAATTGTAAAATCCAGCCACGTTGCATGCATTTTCCTCCCTTTTATATGCAAATAACGTTTGAAAATTCCTTCCTCCCTTTATAAGGAATTTTCTTTCCCTTGCGTGCCTTCATGGAAAGCACTTGCAGCTGACGTGCCAGGGTTCAAATCCCAGCGAAGGCATTGCTGATGTCGCACCTTTCCTGCTGCAGAAGATTCTACAAGTGGTCCCGAAGTAACATATGGTGAAAGATAATTGTGAGCGCATTAATTTGGAGGCTCCTACTCTTCCTTCTAAAATCCCTCTTTTAGTAGGGAGAATCTAATGAATTTTTTACCTTCTTACTGGCTAACAGTCGGGAGGTGAAGAGTTGGAATTTCGGGGAAGGCATTGCTGTTTTCCATGTTTCTTTGAATTTCTTTCTTTTAAATGCCTAATGAACTTTGCAAACCAAATTGTTAATAATTTATCTTCTCTTCTTCCAGATGAAACGCCAAGCTTTCTTCCTCCCTGACGGTGTAGAACTGATCGTCGGTCCCATTAACACCAACTTCAACTGCGACGGCCTCCGCCACGGATACTACGCCGACGTGGACAACAACTGCCAGATCTTCCACGTTTGCAACCCCGTCACCCATGCCGATGGCAACCAAGAAACCCTCCACTATAGCTTCTTCTGCGGCAACCAGACTGTCTTCAACCAGCTCACGCTCACTTGTGCTTTCCCCGAAGACGCAGTGCCCTGCCAGAACGCCCGGGACTTCTACTACGTTAACGACAACATCGGCATTGAGGACGCTCTCTTCTTGAGGGACGAAGACGTCGCCAGGGCACAACAACTGATCCAAGGCAAGAAATAGGAAACTGCCACGGACAACGTTTCCGATCGAGCAATTCTCTGAACAACGTGGCTGCAACAAACAACAACAACATGGTGACGGTCTGACATTATTCCTCGAAGATCTCGAGAGGAGAGACCATCCCTCCTCGTCAGAGACTTTACGCGAGTGTTGTCTTCCCCCCTCTTCTTACAAGTGTCGTTAACATACGGATATAGGTTTTCGCAAAGGACCTTCTCAACAATACCTTCTTCTGGGCAAGCTGGTGCTTTGTTCATCCACGGGCGTACTGGAGGAATCGTTGCCAGTACGAATCCTATGTGGATATTTGGAAAATATTTCCCTCATCCTGGGCTCTTTTGGGCATTTTTGAGTCTTCTTTCTATGTTCGTGTTCGTGTTATTTATGCTTGAACAAGCAAATCCAGTGATACGCACACACAATGCATGTCCCATCGATAACCTACTCAGTACTTCTTGGTAGACCTTTTTCTTGCAGTTGGTTGAGTCTCTTGTTTGGTTTACATATCATATTTTCCCTTGAGGTGTTTGTGGGAAACTTAAAAGTTCTCTGTCTCATGCGCAGCCAATCCTAGTCTATGCCAAATATGTGTTCTAACAGCTTTTTGAAAGATGGGGCGGTTTGTTGAACTAAACTTTGTTATTAACTAACTCTTTCATTTCTTGTGGGAAGCATCCCAACATGCTAGAACGAACCTCACTTTTTCTTCGGGGGACCTACTCCCTCCAGCGAGTGGGAGCGGTCACCCCTCGTCGAATGGTTCCGGGTCGGATGGTGGCAAAAGAGGAAACGGTCGTTTTCCTCGCTTCCGGGTGCGGGTGTGTTCTTCTGTATAAGGTCGCGATAGTCTATTTCCTGGAAGCCCCTATGTATATATACATTATATCTTGTAGTATAAAGCGTTGTATATGTAATATTTTTGTGATAAATAAAGCAAGCATTTTTGAAAGAATTTTTGGATTCATCGTATTTCTTTCATCTTTGATTTATGGCTTCTCTGATGTGAAATAATTTAACCTTATCACATAACAGTTATCTACGGAATCTTCTTGAACACAGGTGATACTGCTTAATTATTATCAAAAAAGTTTAACTCTTACGTAATATATGAATACAAAATCGAGCCATAATTTTATAATCCATTATTGATGGATTTTACAAAGCGATATAATAAAATAAAAAGCTCTTCTCTAACAAAATTTACAGCTGCCAAATCAATTAATTATTAGTACAATATAAAACTGTTTAGCTATGACACAAATTACAAGGGTAAAATCAAATCAGGACTTTATTAGCCACTACTGATGGTGGATTTTATAAAACGGCATTACTGAAATACTCTTCCCTTACAAAGTTTGATAAATATTAAATTATTTAATTATTAAAACTATATGGAACTGTTTAAATGTCACATAATATTAGAGTGTAAAATCAAATCAGAACTTTATTGCACACTATTGGTGGATTTTGCAAGATAACATAAGTAAAATGTTCTTCCTTTCCAAAATGTACAAAAATTAAATTGTTTAACTACTAACATAATATCCAATTGCTTAATTGTTACACGATACAGAGCTGCAAAATCAAATCAAAACTTTACCAGCCACATTTGATGGATTTTATAAAGCGACGTCACGACATAAAATGATTTACGCTTACAAAACTTACTAATGTTAAATTGATTGACTGTTTGGTTGATCTTTACATTATGGTAACTTGGCGTTTTTTTGGCGAAAATTTGGCGACCAACTCTCTTACAGCAACCCTCTATTTTTTTTTTCCCGCCGCCATTTTGTCTTCACGAAGTAAAGACATGTTCCTTTTCTTTTATCTACTGAACACTTCTTCCAACAATCTACTAGCCGAATTACACTTATGCTAGAAATTTTGTCTAACAAAACTGCTTAATCATGACAAATATTCACTGCAAAATTGGGAAAAAGTGCACAATACCATACTCCTTACGCGTTTTTCAAAATAACACATACACATAAACCATGTACACGCCGACTTATTTTTACTTAAAAAAACATCCCAGAATTGCACAAAAATGGCATTGCGCACACTCTTCACTATATCCATGTACACTGCTTTTTTTCTCATAAATTAGAAAAATTTCACGAAAATACATGACAATTTCTCAATCTTTAAACCCGTAAAAAGAACATATATGAAATTACCTGATCGCGAAAAAGTATTTACCCTTTCCAAATATGAACATTTCCACATATAAAATAAATAAAATATCCAAAAACTTTTACCTCTAAATCACCTATTACATTATACACGTCACCAACGAATTCATACCGCAAGCATTACAAATACTTAGTATCAAATATTTAAATTATTTCCATGCACGTTTACTTCAACTTAAACGTATACCAAATTCCTACAAACATAAAATTCACAAAATAGCTATCATTTAATTAAATTTTATTACATTCAAAAACACTACTTACAATATAAATGAGCACATACATTAAATTAATAAAAATTACCTTACAATCCTAATTACTTTAAACTAAATCATTGCTAATAACAATTTTCCCAATAATACCAAATTCCTTTACTTCCACCTTACATTTAGAACAATGCATAAAAATAATATCCTCAAATAATTAAAAATACTAACTTACCTAATCTTCTTCAGAATCTTGATTACGTGTCCGATAAACCTTTCTTTAGTTACGGCCATGGGATCCAAAAATTCACGAACACTGTTTCACACAACACAGAATAAACCAAATACAAAATTTCCAGATTTTTTCCCGATTTCCCCTTTTCCGATTAAAGAACCGTAATTCGTCCATTAATATCACATGACATATCCCATGATCTCTCATTTCCCTCACACAAAATAATGCGTAATCGGAACTGAGTACTGCTCACATTATTACCAAAGTCCCAGGTAGTAACCTTTATCGCCTCCAAAATGTCGCCAAACTACCAGTTACCATATTGTAAAGATCAACCGACTGTTAGAACCATATAAATCATTTAATTATTACACTTGAGTTTTACAAAACAACATAATACTGTAAACTAAAATGATTTTCCTTTGCAAAACTTACAAATGCAAGTGACTTGCTTTGATGAAAAGCTTCCGGATATTTAGTATAATATATCTTAAATCGCAAAGAAACAACACCTAGGTCAGCTCTTTTCGAACTAAATTCTTAAATTTTAAAACTATTAGGTTTATTTATATATTTGTTTGAAACTGGAAATGTGATATCAGCAATCAAGATTCATCTTCGTCACCGTCCCAAGATGTTCTTATGTTACCTGGATGTGCTACCACTTACCACGACAGCTGACAGTGAAAAAGATAAAACTTTCTTATAAAACAATTTCTTAAACCTGAGTATCTCTTTTGTGAATACCATAGGCGATTTACGCAGGTCATGTGACAAAAGCATGAGTATCTCTTATCTTATTCTCAGATAAACTCACAGTTTAAGATAAATATTGTACTTTTAAATTATGTCTAACTGTCATAGATTTACAGAACAGTGAAACCAGGAATTAAATTCTCTTTTGAAATTCCTACAAACATAAAATTCCTAAACATTTGAAAGTTATTCGTTAACTGAAAACATTTTTCCCATAGGAATTAATATAAAATAAATTAATCATGACTGGACTACAGGTTATTGTTTATTTAGGCTTTTTTTAATTTAAAAAAGACCAGTACATTTATTTAAAAAAGATTGATCTGGGCACCACGAGTTCCTTTGTAGACCTATTAAAAATATTCTATATAGAACAACAATAAACTGATATTAAATATTGTTAGATATTTGTTGTTAAACTACATATATACATGCTATATATATAACTGCATATGTAACTATTATTATATATGCAGTTAAATTTCTTTATTTTGTCGAAAATTAATTTTTTAAAATTTGCCACTGCCAAGACATGAATATTTTCGCCATTTAAAGTACTTCTGTGGTTGGAAATATATGACTACCACCAAAGAACACTACAGGTTATTGTTTATTTAGGCTTTTTTTAATTTAAAAAAGACAGTACATTTATTTAAAAAGATTGATCTGGGCACCACGACTTCCTTTGTAGACCTATTAAATCTAATCTTATCTTATTCTCAGATAAGTTCACAGTTTAAGATAAATACTGTACTTTTAAATTATGTCTGACTGTCATAGATTTACAGAACCGTGAAACCAGGAATTAAATTCTCTTTTGAAAGTTATTCGTTAACTGAAAACATTTTTCCCATAGGAATTAATATAAAATAAATTAATTCATGACTGGACTACAGGTTATTGTTTATTTAGGCTTTTTTTAATTTAAAAAAGACCAGTACATTTATTTAAAAAAGATTGATCTGGGCACCACGACTTCCTTTGTAGACCTATTAAATCTAATCTTATCTTATTCTCAGATAAGTTCACAGTTTAAGATAAATACTGTACTTTTAAATTATGTCTAACTGTCATAGATTTACAGAACGTGAACCAGGATTAAATTCTCTTTTGAAAGTTATCGTTAACTGAAAACATTTTTTCCCATAGGAATTAATATAAAAATTAATTCATGACGGATACAGGGTATGTTTATTTAGGCTTTTTTTAATTTAAAAAAGACCAGTACATTTATTTAAAAAAGATTGATCTGGGCACCACGACTTCCTTTGTAGACCTATTAAATCTAATCTTATCTTATTCTCAGATAAGTTCACAGTTTAAGATAAATACTGTACTTTTAAATTATGTCTAACTGTCATAGATTTACAGAACCGTGAAACCAGGAATTGAATTCTCTTTTGAAAGTTATTCGTTAACTGAAAACATTTTTCCCATAGGAATTAATATAAAATAAATTAATTTATGACTGGACTACAGGTTATTGTTTATTTAGGCTTTTTAAAAAAGACCAGTACATTTATTTAAAAAAGATTGATCTGGGCACCACGACTTCCTTTGTAGACATATTAAATCTAATCTTATCTTATTCTCAGATTAGTTCACAGTTTAAGATAAATACTGTACTTTTAAATTATGTCTAACTGTCATAGATTTACAGAACCGTGAAACCAGGAATTAAATTCTCTTTTGAAAGTTATTCGTTAACTGAAAACATTTTTCCCATAGGAATTAATATAAAATAAATTAATTCATGACTGGACTACAGGTTATTGTTTTAGGCTTTTTTAATTTAAAAAGACAGTACATTTATTTAAAAAAGATTGATCTGGGCACCACGAGTTCCTTTGTAGACCTATTAAATATTCTATATAGAACAACAATAAACTGATATTAAATATTGTTAGATATTTGTTGTTAAACTACATATATACATGCTATATATATAACTGCATATGCAACTATTGTTATATATGCAGTTAAATTTCGTTATTTGTCGGAAATTAATTTTTTTAAATTTGCCACTGCCAAGACATAAATATTTTCGCCATTTAAAGTACTTCTGTGGTTGGAAATATATGACTACCACCAAAGATTGTGAAATAAAAGCCAGGAAAGGATCTAAATGTTATAGTAGTCTCACATATACAAAATTTCAACCTTCTATGGCTAACCGTTTTCGATTCATGCGAGATACATATACACATACGTATGTACGTACATATAGATGTCTCGAAAATGTGTCTCTTTTGAATTGACCTTAAATCCATTTGTAACCCATTTTGAAAAAAACAATTTTTTTATTCTGTCTGTACGTATAGATTTCATGCAAATAAAAATCGTCTAAATGAGTTCGGGAACCATATAAGGTACTTTCTTCCTCCTTTCTGCATACCATCGTGGTGTAACGGTAGCACACTCGGCACGTATTCGAGAGGTGCAGTTTCGAGTCTGGGCAAATGCCTTGCTCACTTTTTACGTCTGCCATATCAAAAATACCTAACGACACTACAACCGGCAAACTGAATATTTCCGCTGAAATAGGATGCCCGAAATTTCT